ATCTTGATGGCTGCTACATGCAGGGGTGCTGAAGGGGTCCTAAGAGTAGATGGCTCAGGCCCTGAAAGTGGCCCAATGCTACTGAGGTGAGAGAGCCCAATGGACGGCTCCACCTGGCCTGGCACCAGCTGCTGCAGCCAAGCTGAGTTCACACAAACCATCTCAGTCTCAGCCCCTCCCTCTTCTTGTTTTAGCTGAGAAAAACGTCTCCCCTGGCTCAGGCAGGACTATCACCCCATCCTCCAGACAGGGAAACTGAGGCCCAGGGAGCAGCTCTAACAGCCTGTCCATCCACTGGATCTTTCTGTGATACTGTTGAGCACCTGTGATGTGCTGGGCTAGAACTGGGAGTCTAAGAGTAACATGCCAGGCATAGTGGGTACCCCAAGGACAGCCCCCCCCCCGCCAGCCCAGGCCAATCTTCCCTACAGGGGTGGCTCATGGTGTTGTCTTTCTCTGTCCTCCCATCCCCGATAGCTCTGCCCTCTCCCTACACCCTTCAGGAAGTGGAGGTTGCCATCATAAACTCCACCATGTGTAACTACCTATACCGGCAACCTGGTTTCCGCTTGGACATCTTTGGAGACATGATTTGCGCTGGTGATCCCCAAGGTGGCAAGGATGCCTGCTTTGTAAGTGTCCCTCCCACCTTTCTCAGTCCCAGGCCCAAGAGCAACCAGTTTCCCTTACCTCTTTTGTTCTGTACACCAACCCTGGGAGGTAGATCCACTTCCCAGATGCAGATACTGAGGCTTGGTCACTGCCAGGGGAGAAGTAGGATTTGCACCCAGCCCCACAGCCCCTCCTGCTCTCCTGGCCTCTCTGCTGCTTGCTGCCCCTATCCCCAGCTGGGCTCACCCACATTGCTCCCCAGGGTGACTCAGGCGGGCCCTTGTCATGTGAAAGGACTGGACTGTGGTATCAGGTTGGAGTCGTGAGCTGGGGAGTGGGCTGTGGCCGACCCAACAGGCCTGGTGTCTATACCAACGTCAGCCAGCACTACCACTGGATCCGGAAGGTGATGATTGACAATGGCATGCTGAGGCCAGCGCCCTCCTGGCCACTGCTTCTCCTCACTCTGTTCTGGGCACCCCCACTCTTGTAGCAGGTGTGAGTGTCCCCAGCCCATGAATATGGAGTCAGCTGCTCAGCTGGGCTTTGTTCCTATTCTGTCTGATGTGCTAATAAACTCATTTGTGCTGATGCCTGGCAGACTGTTCCTCCAGCCTGGGGTCTCTGTGACAACCTCCTTCCAGTCATCCATGTCCAATTCAGCCTCTGAGCTGCCCTAACTCCCAATTCTTTGTCCAGCCATCTACATTATCCAAGGTAGTGTTACAAATAGTAGAGCTCTCCTCAGGAAGATGATGGAAATATAGTCCCTTTTGTCCTGATTGCTAATAAACATATGTGCATGTTCAAGTTGATGCTTGCAGAGCTTTCTGTGGACCCAAGTGGCATTATGGACAACTCCCTCCTGTTCACTCATATCTAGTGCAGGCCCAGACTCCACCTTAACTCTTAAGTCCCTTTCTCAGGTTTTGATCACAAACAACAGAACCCTCTCCTGTTAGTTCAATCAGAAAGATTACTGAAAGAAGCACACTAGTAGCTCCTGGGCGTTAGAGTCTAGGAAGTCTGGGGGTAAGAGTGCTGTGAAGGAAACACTCCCAAGGCCCCCCCCACACTCTCAGGGTTCCCTATCTCACAAGTGCCAGATGCTTTTGGTCTTATCAGCTTCCCCTCATAGGTCGACCTGGGACCAAGATTGGGTTCCGGTAGTTTATTTGAAAGGTGATCCCAGGAAGCAAAGGTGAGGAGGTAGAGAAACTGAGGCAAGGAATAAAGAAATTCTGATGAATTTGCTCAAAGGAGAAAATGCCATACAAGGCAATAGAAGCACAATAGAGGCCTCAGCAATGGTATACTGAGAACAAAGACACTAGGGGGGGACATTTCAATCTTGACCCCCTTCTACCCATTGAGGGTGGTCTTGGGGGCATAAAATGCTCCAGACCTGCAGCTGACCCCAGGTGAGGCTGTGAGTAGGGAGGGATCTGCAGCAGCTGCACTGTAAGTGGCTGGGATGGGGGAGTGGGAGGGCATCAATCCTGTCTGCCTCCCCATCAGGGTCCCCCGACCCCACCATAATCCTGGCCAAGGCAGACTCAGTGGGTCCTCAGAGCTGTGGAGTCAGATCAGGGCTTGCAAAGATCCCTAAATGCTGTCAGCAGCAGTTGGTGGGAGGAGCTCTGGCCTGACTCTTCCCCTCTGACAGCCCACAGCCCTGCTTCATGGAAAATGCATCCACCTGCAGCAAAGCTTCCCTAGTTGCTGGGGAACCTGAGGAGCAAGGATGGAGGGGCTTCTGGCTCCCCACACAGGAAGGGGACGTCCTGTAGGATGTACTCTCCACTCTGAACTGCCTGTGTTCATCTCCCTGGGGGTGGGCAGGTGGGGCACTGGCTCTGGCCTTATCTCCTTGCTTCCTCCCTCTCCCATGGAAGGGTTAAAACTCACTGGGGAACCAGTCAAACCTGCACTCCACATCCCCTATGGTATCCTCAGGGTGTTGTCCTAGCCTCACTGTCCCTGTCCCCTCCCCCCTTCTCACTTGGATTATTGAGGGGACTCATGGAGATCGTAGTAGGAGAGCCCCATGCAGCACTGGGTCCTTATGGCCCTCAGGAGAGGCAGCTGCTGTCTGGGCAGCTCACATCAGGGGCTCTCCCTGGGTAAGCTCAGTATTCTGAGGCTGAGTCACTCCAAAAGGAGCAGCTGTGGGCCAGAGGAGCAGGTGACTTCCCACACTCACCAGGTGGACCAGCTGAGCTTCTTGGTCCTTCTCTGCCTTGGAGCTTCCCTGGACCCCCACCCACATGTTCCCCTTTGCTACTGGGCCCTTTGACCCTGTGCCCTAAATACAAATAAAGTAAAAATAGAGAAAAACATCACTGCATGTCTCACACAGAAAGATGAAGGTTGGCTGTGAAGTCTGTGCCTCGTCCTGGGGTTCAGAAGCCAGACATTGCAGCTAGACCTCCTCAAGTGGAAGCCCCACCGCCAATGCTGCTGTGTAGGACAAGTCACTTCACCCTCTGTGTCTCACTCTCTGTGTCTTGCAAATGGAGACAACTGGAAGTCTGACCCCTATGTTAAGAACAGGAACTTCAGGGGGCCCTTGGAAGAGGGCCTGACCCCTCCCTGATCACTGAAGGGTTGGCCACTGCACTGTGTTTCCTGCCACACTAACAGGATGAATTTCTTCCATCAAGCTATGGTCACAAGATGTTTGAACCTCATCCCTGGAGGACTCTGAGACTCAGGCCTATGGTAGGCGCTCATGTGGGATTCAAGGTTTGGGAAGGGAGATAAGAGGAATAGACCAGATCTGGGGCCTTTATTAGCTTCTGATGCTGCTGCAGGAAATGACCACACTTTGAGGGGCACTGTCTTCAGCTGTTTCTGGCTTTGGCCTCTCCCGTGTTGATCCCCCAGCATGTAACGCCCTCGTCCCTTTGTCTCCATGTGGCCAACTCTCCCTCATCCTTTAAGCACCTGCTCCAGGAAGACTTCCCTGAAGCAGACCCTCACCACCTCACCTCAGGGCAGGTGCCTACACATGGCAACCTGCATCTGTGCTCATCAGTGAAGATGTTACAATGAACTGCCACCATCTGCTTCTGCATCTGCCCCCGTGGGGCAGCCAGCTCCTCAACTGGACGCCTGGCCTCTTCTTTCTGCCCCCAGGAAGCCAGGCATGGATTGGCAAACGATTGCTGTGTGAATGGATGAACAAGTGGCTTGCCTGAGGCCCCATGGACAGTCAGAGAAGCCTGGAACTGAGCCTGGCCAGCAGAAGCCAGCTGGGTGGGCCTAGAGGATACAGGGGGTGGTGGCCTTGGAGGCTGACTCCTCAAGACTGTGGGATCAGGACAAGGTCTTTGTGGGTAGGCCTCTCGTCCTCTGCCTACCCCTTAGCTTGGTTCATTGGGCCCCAGCCCCAAGGGGTCTGTCTTCTAGGAACCGAGAAGGCTTTGGTGCTATTGGTAGTACCCAGGACTTAAGGATCATTCCTGGACACACTGTCTCTACAGAAACTTTATTTTAGATTTAGTATCATAACTCAGTTACCCCAGGACGGTTAGCCTACCTCCACCCAAGTGACCTCAGCTCTTGTCCCCTTTTTGCCCACTATTGCTATTTGTGGAGGAAGTGGTATTAGTGGGTTTTGCATTGGTGGCCTCTTCTAATGGAAAATCCCAAGTAAAGCCGATGCCCCTGAGGCCACCACCTACATATCGGCCAAAAATCCCTGTGAGCACCTGTCCCTCTTTTGGGGGGAAGGCAGAAAACTGCTTGCCAACACTCTCCCCAAAGGAGACGCAGCGCTCCCGATCGGTGCACACAAGCAGGTACTGGAGGAATGCTTTGAATGAGCCATGGATCTCATTGATGTGTTCGCCAGGCCACAGGCTCAATTCCTGGGTGATCCCACCTGAAGCACCACGTTGACTATCCCAGTAAGTTCCAAATTTCACCTGGACACTGCAAGAGAGATGAAGCTTTCAGCCCTTGAGATCTGGGGCATCCCAACCTTTCCCATGTCCTCCAAGAGATAGCGGCCTTATCAGAGGGTCCCTGAGTTGGACTCGCTGGTCTCAAAACCTTCTTCTGCCACTTTCAGACTTGTGATCTTGAGCTGATCACCCAGACCTCTGGGACTCAGTCTTCCCTTCTTCAGAATGGGAGTGATTGTCGCAGAGAGTCACCAAGATTGCGGCAGGACAGCCTGACACAGAATCAGGTCATCAGAGCTGTCAGGAGGGGCTGCTACTGTCCTGGTGGCTCAAATCAGTGAATCTCCCTGTCCAAGCTCAGACTTCTAAGCCTAAGTCACTCCAAAAGAAGCAGCTTCTAGGCTTGATGAGCAGGTGACTTTCCACACTCACCAGGTCACCCAGCTGGGCTTCTCTGTCCTTCCTTGTCTTGGTGCTGCCATGGATGTCCTGCCCCCAGCAGTCCTGCCCACACGTCTCCTTTACTATTGGGCTCTTCTGCCCAGTGTCCTTCCCAGGACCCCAACCACCCACAGGTGCAAAGCAAAGACCCACCCAGGCCGTTAGCAGGGACATCCCAATATTAAGAAAATAGCCTTGGGGAGGCACCTGTGGCTCAAAGGAGTAAGGCACCGGCCCCATATGCCAGAGGTGGCGGGTTCAAACCCAGCCCCAGACAAAAACTGCAAAAAAAAAAAAAAAAAAGAAGAAGAAAGAAAGAAAATAGCCCTGGATTTTCTGCCTCCAACACTTGCAGTGAAGTGTGTGTTTAGTCAGTGGTCCACTCTGACCCTCACCTGCCCTCTTTGACCTTTCCCTGAACTTTCCATTAGGAATGAGGCCTGGGAGTCCATTTCTGGTTGAATTGAGCTTGGGTGAAAGGAAGAGGTAGGGAGAACAATCATCTGACCCTCCTAGATCAACCCAGGAAGCAAGGACAGGACCTCCAGGTGAAGTGCCAGTGAAGTGGGGCTGGCAAGGGGAGGGAAGGTGGTTGAGGGAAAGGGACTCAGATAAGGATAGTGGCCAGGGCCACCAAGGGCCACTCAAGGGCCCATCTGGCCTCATGGAGTCCTCAGGAGCCAGGCAGAATGCTCCCGAGACACTGAATGGCGTTGCAACCTCATGGTTGGGCCTCATGGTCTGGATCCCACTCACCTTTTAAGCATATGATCATCTACAGACACCCGAAGCCCCGTGATTTCATGTTCAGTGTCCTCAGGGGTACTGAAATCCCTGCCTTTTCCTACCCCGAACATCTCTGCAGGGATGAAAGAACCAAAGGACAGGGAAACCACCAAGGGATAGGCAGGCAGCCTCTGCAGTTCAGGGGACACCACCCATTCCAGTTGCCTGTGCCCAGAGACAGCCTGTGATGTGAGTGCAGGTGAGTCCCTGGCGCTCCTGGGTAGAGAAGGGAGATGACCACCTGAGGAGTAGGCCGGGGCAGGGAGCAGCCAGACTTACTTTGTGCCCAGCAGAGGCGGCTCCCTAGGAGTGCGAGAGTCACCAGCAGCAGCATGGCCTCTGGCCTGGACCACAGCTCTGCTGAGAAGAGGAGAGGCCTTTTGACTCCCACCAGGGAGCTGCACTGGGGAGTCTTGCTGTGTGGGGTGCCCTCCACCTTGCCTTTATACTCTCCAGGCCCTGAAGGCCCCTGTCCAGAAGGAAGGAGTGAAGGCCACCAGGACCAGGATGGGGCTGGGTGGCAGAGCACTTCCTGGGGGAGGCTCCTGGCCAGGCAATGTTTGCTGTCTTGGCCTCATAGCCTACACAAACATCACTGGGGTCAGTGACAGGCATGTCACGGTCACCTCTGGGTTCTCTTTCTTCAGCACCTGCATGGACCTGAGTTGTGGGGGTGGGGAGAGGAGTGCTCAGAGCCCTCTCCAGCTCAGCCAGACAGGTCTCTACCTTGAGGGTGCAGGTTGGTGCCCACAGAAACCCGGCCATGGGCAGCCCTGGACTCAGCATTTCCTCAGGTCTGGGCTGTACCTGGTGGCTGCTAGGCTTCCTGGAGTTTAGGTGAGCACCCCTATGACTGTCAGAGGGCCATAATGGACAGTGCAGATCTTTGTGACCCGAGCCAGGGACAAGGGGCACTCCAGATGCTGGCCCTCCTTGTTCTGTCCTCAGAAGGTGGTGTGATCTCTCCTCTGTGCCAGGCCTGGGCATAGTTGGGGATGAGCCCTTGTTCAGGAGCTCACAGGCCATGGGAGGGGAAAACCCCAAAGGAGCCTGACAGGAGGCGGAGGGTCAGGGAGGGTGATTCTCCAGGCCAGGCCTTCTGAGAGCGCCTGTGGCCAGGCCGAGGTTCCGCCTTTCCTGGACAATGACAGGTGCTTCTCCAGGGTTTGGGTCCTGGGCAGCCCTGCTGCTGTGGCAGTTCCCACATTTTCTCTATCTTGCACCATGTGCCCCCTCAGCCCCACTGGGAGGGAGGAAAGTGGAGGTGGCCAAGGACCCCCATTTGCATAAAATTCCTGTTTGGAGATGTTCCATCCCAAAGCTTTTGAAAGTCCTAAACCCACCACGTTGGGAGAGATCTTGGGTTTGGTGGATGCAGTCAGGGCATAAGATAAGGACTGGGGGTGAAGGGGGCTCCAGGGAACCAAGAACAGAGCAGTGGGAGTTCCATGCCCATCCTGTGCGTATCTTGTGCATTATAGTCTCTGGAGCTCAGGCTGTGCCCAGGCCTCCAAGTGCTAGTGACAGCCGCAGGGTGGGGGTTATCCACACTCTTCCTTCTGGACAGGGGCCTGCAGGGCCCGGAGAGTATAAAGTGGAGGGTACCACCAAGTAGAGGGCACCCCACACAGCAAGACTCCTCAGTGCAGCTCCCCAGTGGGAGTCAGAAGGCCTCTCCTCTTCTCAGCAGAGCTGTGGGCCAGGCCAGAGACCATGCTGCTACTGGTGCCTCTCACACTCTTGGGGAGATGCCTCTGCTGGGCACAAAGTAAGTCAGGCTGCTCCCTGCCCTGGCCCGGCCTCCCCCCATACTGGGCTGTGATTCAGGGCACTTGCTTTGCCTCTCTGTGCTGTGATGGTCTCACCTGCTCTAGGTTGATGACAATGGAACCTACTCACAGGATGGCTGTGAGGCCCAACCAGATTGTCCATGCAAGGGCTGGTTGCCCTTAGTTTGAACTTTATGCCACATGGCCAGGGATATTAAGTTATCTCTGGAAAGAGCCAAAGATCAGATACACTGGATGTGGTGGAATCCTTGAGGTGGGGTCCTGTGTGGGAAGGGACACCAGGCGCTGCAGGCACCTTATCTGAGGGCAGTAGGCTGGATGGCATGCCTAGAACACCCCCAACCATGTGTTTCTAAGGAAAAGAGGATGCAGAGAATGACTTTGTTTGTACTCAGCCTGACTCTGCAAGTGCTGGCTCACCAGGAACTGGGGACGCTGGTCTTATTGGGATCACAGTGGGGGAGGGACAAGTGGGATTTTCATTACCTGCATCAGGTGCCTACCCCAGGGATTGGCAACTATGGCTGAAGGTCAAACTGGTTCCACCTGTGTTTGCACAGTCCATGAGCTAAAAATGCTTTGCAAAGGGGCGGTGCCTGTGGCTCAGTGAGTAGGGCGCCAGCCCCATATACCAGAGGTGGCGGGTTCAAACCCAGCCCTGGCCAAAAACTGAAAAATAAATAAAATAAAATAAAATAAATAAACTTGTTGACCTTATCTTTTTCAAAAATGCTTTGTACATGTTAAAATTGTTAGAAACAATTGAAAAGAAGGACAATATTTTGTCACACATGAAAATTCTTTGAAATTCTGATGCTCTTATTCACAAGTTCAGTGTCAAGTGCACATGGTCATGTGCAATTTGCATGTATTCTGTGGTTGTTTTCACAATGCAATGTCATCCTTGCGTGGCTGTGGCTGAGGCTTTATGGCCCAGAAAACCTACGATTGTACTGTCTGGCCTTCACACAGAAAATCTACAGCCTCCAGACACCTGGGGGATACACCTCTTTCCTAAGTGGGACACAGCCCTGTCCATGGTGCTGGCAGAACAGAGTAAGGAAAGGGGCTCTATTTCTACACCAGCCTTGACTGGGGTGGGGGGACCTTTGCTCTGGCCCCTGCACTGATCTCCCCAGAGAGGGTGGTCAGGCCCCATGTCCCCTGTGCTCCCTACCCTTCTGTCCCCTGAAGTGGGTGGGGGAAGGGGCAGCAGAGCCCTTCTGGAAGCCTCAGGAGGAGCCTCCTTCAGGATGCAGAGGTAGGAGAGGCCTAAGCCCTTAACCATTATCTCTCAGAGGCTGCACAAAGGGGTCTGTGTCCTCATCCCAGCCCAGCTCAAGGTCACCTTTCCATGTGGTGCTGCCAGTTCAGGTGCTTTGTTTCTCACTCCAGGCTGGCAGGGTTTGGTGCCCAGGAGGAGGTTCTATGTAGGCCGGGACTCCAGGAAGCAGTACCCTGGGTGGTGAGGGTGTCAGAGGAGAAGACAGTGAGCAGCCTGGCCAGAGGGAGTCTGAGGCTGACCTGCGTGCACACTGGTACCTTAGATGGCACATGCACACTTTCCCAAACATGCACAGATGCACAGTGAGGGCAGACCAAGTAGACGTGCTTATCCAGAATGTCCAGTCAGGGGCACACAGACACTCCTGTACCTCTGTGTGGGGTGGGGAGACAGCCCGCCTGGTGGGAGGTCTAGATCCTGCACAGGCCCTGCCCTGCCCCCTCCATCTACTCTGGCCCAGTGCTGGCCCTGAGCCATGCTAAGGGACACTCAACAGAGGTCCTTTGTCCCTCAGGATCAGGGCTCTCCAAGAGGGGGATTTACTGAGCATTTATTTCCTGGCCTAGGTACGCCCCAGTCCTGACTCTGCCAGGAAATTGGACAATGAGGCCTGCTGACAGTGGAGGACCTTATCTGTCAGGGTTTCAGCCCTCTGCCCTCCACATGTGGAACTTGGGAGAGCCCTCAGTGCCTCTGTAGCCTGAAACACAGTGGATAGATCATCTCCATCTGAAGCCCCCATAGAGCTACTTGGGCCTCGCTGGAAGCCCCCAGGCTCAGAAGGAGACAGGAGCCTGTGGCTCTAGCTTAGGTCTGGAGTAAGGCTGTCCTGATTGAGTCTTCTGGGGCAGAACTGGCTCTTCTAGGCTTGGTACCTGTAGCTCAGCAGCTAGGGCGCCAGCCATGTACAATAGAGCTGGTGGGTTTGAATCCAGCCTGGGTCTGCCAAACAACAATGACAACTACAACCAAAAAATAGCCTGGCTTATGGCGGGCACCTGTAGTCCCAGCTACTTGGGAGGCTGAGGCAAGAGAATCGCTTAAGCCCCAGAGTTTGAGGTTGCTGTGAGCTATGACACCACAGCACTCTATCGAAGGTGACAAAGTGAGACTTTGTCAGAAAAAAGAAAAAAATTATTTATCCAGAGGAATGCTAAAAAAGGTGTGCTAAGATCTACAAAAAAAGATTGCCTGCAGGTATGTTTTGTTTTTTTGGTTTTTTTGAGACAGATTCTCACTGTGTGGCCCTCAGTAGACTGCCATGGCGTCACAGCTCACAGCAACCTCAAACTCTTGGGCTCAAGTGATTCTCTTGCCTCAGCCTCCCCAGTAGCTGGGACTACAGGTGCCTGCCACAACGCCCAGCTATTTTTTGGTTGTAGTTGTCATTGTTGTTTAGCTGGCCCGGGCTGGGTTGCACCCACCAGCTCAGGTGTACGTGGCTGGCGCCAAACCTGCAAGTATGATCGTAATGACATTCATCAACAACCCAAATGCCAACACCAGGGGATGGGTTGTAAGTTTCGTTCTGGTGGGTTTCGAACCTTTTTTCTCTGTTCTCCTTCCGGTGAGTCATGTTTCTGAGAAGAGCGCATCGCTTCTCTACTCGTGGCAAAGCCATGATTCTCTGCAAGGAAGAGCGGCAGAGCGCACAGAGCATTTCCCCAGTCCTCCGTGTGGACCCTCCCGCCTGTTCTCACACAGAAAGGCTCCTCGTTGTCGGTGGTCTGGACCCGGGGCTGTGCACCTGCCCTAAGATTCAGCCCTGGGGACACAGAGAAGGGACACCCTCGTGAGCAAGGACTCTGGAAAGAGGCCTCTGGGCCTAGAGAACCGAGTCAGCATGGACGACGCAACAGAGGCAGGCTCGAGTCGTCGCGATCCAGCAAGGGAATGAGCGCGGAGTCTTGTGCCTGCTTGTTTGGTGACCATCTATTAAACAGCCCAGCACAGCGCTCTGTCCCGTCCGCAAGCGAGGGCGGGGGCCTGGGGAGGGCGACCTCGGCTCGCCTTGCCCCCTTGTGTCCGGTCGGGCACATTGCAAGGTCAGGGGCTGAGAGGAAGCTGGACTTCACACTAACTGCAAACCCACTTGCAAAAGCCGCAGATGTCACGCTCGGGTGTCCTAGAGGAGGGAAGGACCGAGGGACCCCCCCCCCCAGACACTCTTGGCGCTAGAGTCATGGGGTAGCATCGCGTAAGTCCCTTGTAATATTCCCCAAAGACAGTGTTGCATGTAGAGTAAGTTTGAGTCCTGGTGTGCTTTAGCATAGCAAAAAGCAATTTCAGTTTCCCTAAAGTCTGTGACCATAGAATTCTTTACAAGATGAAGCCAGTGAACATGGGAACACCCATTGAACC